GTTTATCTTATTGGAGTTCTTTAAAGAAATAACATATGCTATGGATCAAGGGGAACCGGTGGTTGTAGTGTACCTGGACTTCAAAAGGCATTTTTGGAGATTATTGCAGAAAATAAAAGCTCACTGTATATGTGTTATCATATTGAGATGGACAGAAGATTGGTTAGCTAACAAGCATATACCTAAATAGGTCATTTTTTGGTTGGCAAAGTGTAATGGCTTGTGTGCCAAAGCCGCAACATTTTACAATTTTGTATAAATGACTTGGATGAAGGAACCAAAACATGGTTGCTAAATGTGTTGATGACATGAAGATAGGTAGAAAAGTAAATTATGAAAAGAACTTAAGGAGGTCACAAAAGGATATGGAAAGGCTACGTGGGTTGACTAAGATCTAGCAAATGGGGTAACATGGGAAAATATAAAATTGTCCATTTTAGCAGATAATTAAAAAATGAAGCATATTGTCTAAAAGATGAGAGACTACAGTGCTGTAAGATGCAGACGGATCTGGTCATCTTAGTGCATGATTCACAAAAGGTTGGTCAGCACATACAAGTAATGAGGAAAATTAATACAATCTTATTTTTCAACTTGCCCATGCCAGAAGCTGTGAGGAAACCTTTTTCATCCAGATGGTGATGGGAATCTCGAACTCGCTGCCTGTAAGGTTGGTAAAGGCAGAAACCCACATAACATTCAAGAAGTATTTAAATTTACACTTGCGATGCCAAAGCATACAAGACTATGGGCTGGACTATGCTGGAAAATGGGATGAGAGAAATTAGATAGCTATTTTTGACTGGCAGGGACATGATGGATCAAAGGACCTTTTTTCTGTGCTGTGGATCTTTGTAATTCTAAGTCATTAATATATTGTAAACAGTTGCATCCCAGCTCTCACCCCTGCGGAAACTCTCAAGTTGTGCTGACGAGGCCTCATCTGGAATATGGCATACAGTGTCGGTCACCTTATTCATGGAAGGATGCAAGTGTGTTACATTCGGTCCAGGAAAGGTTTACAAAACCAATACCTGGAACAGGTGTGTTGTCTTTTGAGGGAGAGTTGAAAAGGCAAGTCTCATACTTACTACAGTTTATAAGAGTAAGGAACAACTTGATTGAAATTCAAGAACCTAAGAAGTCCTGACAAGGTGGATATGGAGAGGTTGTTTCCTCTTTTGAGAGGATTTGGACTTCCTTCGGCATTCAACAAGATACTTCATAAAATTTAAGTACATAAGTGTGTGGGGTGGAGGTGATATACTGACATGATAAAGAACTGGCCAATGGGCAGGAAACAGTGAATGGCGGTAAGGGGTTCTTTTCAGGTTGGCAACCTATAACTTGAGAGGTTCCACAGGGGTGACAGCTGGGATGCCACTGTTTGCAATATATTAATGACTTAGAATCATAAAAATCCATAGCACAGAAAAAGGCCCTTTGATCCATCATGTCCCTGCCAGTCAAAAATAGCCATCTAATTATTCTAATCCCATTTTCCAGCTGAGTTCGGCCCATAGTCTTGTATGCTTTGGCATCGCAAGTGTACATTTAAATATTTCTTGAACGTTATGTGGATTTCTGCCTTTACCAACCTTACAGGCAGCGAGTTTGAGATTCCTACCACCATCTGGATGGAAAAGGTTTCCTCACAGCTTTTGGCATGGGCAAGTTGGAACAAAGGGTCTGTTTCCATCTATGAGCTCCTTCAAGCCCCTTACTTTATGCCACTAGTCAATGGTGCCTCCATTAAGGGGAAAAGTTTCTTCCTCTCTACCCTATCTATGCATGTCAATTTTATATATCTCAGTCATAGAATCATATCATAGAATCCTTACAGTATAGAAACAGGTCATGCGGCCCAACAAGTCCATACCGCCCCTCCGAAGAGCATCCCACCCAGACCCATTCCCCTACCCCTGTATTTCCCATGTCTAACCCACCTAACTAAACATCTCTGGGCACTATAGGCAATTTAGCATAGCCAATCCACATACCCTGCACATCTTAACTGTGGGAGGAAACCCACGCAGACACAGGGAGAATATGCAAACTCCACACAGACAGACGCCCAAGGGTGGAATCAAACCCGGGTCCCTGGTGGTATGAGGCAGCAGTGCTAACCACTCAGCCAGCGTGCTGCCTCAATGTCCCCTCAATCCCTGCTCGAAGGAAAACAACCCCAGTCTATCCAATCTCTCTTAATAACTGAAACTTTCCAGCCCAGACAACATCTAACACATCTCCTCACATTCTCCAGTGCTATCCCATCCCTCCTACAATGTGGATTCTAGAACTGTACATAATACACAGCTGTAGCCTAACTAATGTTTTATACAGTTCCAGCATAACATCCCTGCTCTTAAATTGTATGCCTTGGCTAATAAAGACGACTATTCCATATGCGTTTTAATCACTTTCTCCACCTGTCCAGATACCTTAAAGGGATTGACCACGTGAGTACCTAGTCCCTCTGATCCTCAGTGCTTCCCTTTCATCATGTATTCCCTTGCCTCATTTGTCTTGCCCAAGTGCATTATCTCACACTTATTCAGATTGAATTCAATCTGGCAATGATCAGCCCTATCTATACCCTCCTGTCATCTAAGGCCATCATCCTCACTACTTACCACCCCACCAATTTTCATACCATCTGCAAAAGTAGTGACTTGGAGGAAAGAAGCAAATACTATAGCCAAATTTGCAGACAGCACAAAAATAGGTGGAAAGGTATGTTTCAAGATGAATACAAACAGTTTACAGAAAGATATTAATAGATTATTAAATAATTCTGGTCTCCCTGCTATAAGGAAGAATGTTCTGAAACTTGAAAAGGATTCAGAAAAGATTTACAAGGATGTTGCCAGAGTTTGAGCTGTAGGGAGAAGCTGAATAGGCTGGGCTATTTTCCCTGGAGCATTGGAGGCTGAGGGGTGACCTTATAGTTATAAAATCATGAGGGGCATGGATAGGGTAAATAGACAAGGTCTTTTCCCTGGGGTGGAAGAATCCAAAACTAGAGGGCATATATTTAAGGTGAGAGGGGAAAGATTTAAAAGAGACCCAAGGGACAACGGTTTAACGCAGAGGGTAGTGCATATATGGAATGAGCTGCCAGAGGAAATGATGGAGGCTAGTACAGATACATTTAAAAGGTATTTGCATGAGTATATGAATAGGAAGGGTTTAGAGGGTTATGGGATATTTGGTCGGCCTGGGCGAATTGGACCGAAAGGTCTGTTTCTGTGCTGTATATCCCTATGACTCTAAGTGGGCAAAAAGTTGTCAAATGGAGTATAATGTGGGAAAATGTAAAGTTGCTTATTTTGGAAGGGTGAACTAAAAAGTATTATTTAAGTGGAGAGAAACTGCAGAAAGCTGTAATGCCAAGGGATTTCAGGGTATTTGTGCACAAAATACATATTTAAAACACAGGTGCAGCAGGTTATCAGGAAGGTTAATGGAATGTTGACCCTTATTTCAAGGGGATTAGAATTTAAGAGGAGGGAAGTCTTATTGTAACTGTACAAGGTGCTGGTGAGGCCACATCTGGTGCACTGTCCCCTTATTTAAGGGAAAAAATAATTTCATTGGAGGGGGGTCAGAGCAGGTCCACAAAAATGATCCCTGGTATGGAAGGGTCACCTTACATGCAAAGGTCGAAAAGGTTGGGACTCTACTCACTGGAATTTAAAAGGAATGACAGATGATCTCATTGAAACATATAGGACTCTTAAGGGGCTTGACAGAAATGCTGAATGGATATTTCCCCTCATGGGAAAGTCTAGAACCAGAGGGCATAATGTCAAAATAAATTTACGACTGAGACAAGGTGTATTTTCTTTCAGAAGGTTGACTGTCTTTGGAATTCCTTGCCACAAAGAGCTGTAGAGGCAGAATCCGTGTGTATATTTAAGATTGAGACAGATAATTCCCCTCCTGGTGAAGGATCTGGAGGGTTCTGGGAAAAGGGCTGGAAAGTGGATGCAAGCAATGTCAATTCAGCCATGATCCTATTGAATGGCAGAGCAGGCTTGAGGGGCCGAATGACCTACCTTTGCTCCTATTTCTTATGGTTTTAAAATAAGGGGTCAGCCACTTAAAACAGAGATGAGGAATTACTTGCTCAGAAGGTTGAGCATCTTTGGCATTCTTTGCCTCTAAAGTTGGTGAAAGCAGAGTCTTCGAATAATTCTAATGTGATGGGAAATGGGTCTTAATAAACAAGTGCTGAAGTGGGGAGTGGAAAAATAGTTACTTATCGGTAGTTGATGGGAATGTGGACTAATCAGATCAGTCATGACTTTTTTGAGTGGCAGAACATGCTTCAGACACCAGGCAGCCTACTTCTGCTCCAAATTCATTGTATCCATCTCCAATTTAATCCATGGGAAAATTGGACGTAGATTTTGAAGAATGTCTGAAAGAAGGAATTGAAAATGGAGATGGAAATTTCAGATTTTTGCACCAGTTGCCTGAAGTCACATTTGATTGTGGGGTGGAGGAGAGAACGATTACAGGATTGGAGTCAGATGAGATGTAACTCAGAAAAAGATTACAGAATAATTGAGGCACTGGAGCTATTGCTCAGTAACCACTGTTAGCCCAACAACATTCAGTATCTATGCTTACACATGTGGAACATCTTTTTGGTAAGATACCAGAGGCAATGTTCCTGATGATGATCCAAGTAGATTCACAATCTCCTCCAGAAAATCATGCCTACTGCAACACTGTAAACAAATCTGTTTTAGCTTTTAATCTGACCATGAACTTTCTATATTACAGGTCCCCAAAGCTTCTCATCATTCAGGAATAGTAGTAACATGAATTTAAATGATGCAATAATGCACCAAGTTCTGTAGGGGGTGCTGCTGCCACAGATAAACAAAAAATCATGGTTTGAATTGAATAGATTACAAAACCAACAGAGGGCTCTCCACAAGTTTTCAATTTGAAATCTATTTTTAAACAAAGAAGTCTTTAACATGACTGGCTTTCATCAGCAATAGTATTTAATTACTGGTCACTATTATAACATTCAGTTGTGTAAAAACAATAGATGACACTCCATTCTTTCACAATAAATTTTAATGAGAAATCCATAATTCTAACTGCTTAAGGCTACTCAGAGCAGAGCTTTTCACAGTTCAGTTTATTTGACCCATTAAATTGGAGGATGATATCAACGCTCTCACTATTCCTCTTTTCCTGCAGATATCTATTCACACGGAGCTATAGTTCCACAGGATCCACTCAACCTTTTGTTCCAGAGCCCACTTTTTACTTGTACTCCAAAACAGTTTCCCCCTAATTCTCAGGGGAAATTCAAGTATTGGACCAATTTAGACTCACTTCAGTTTAAACCCATAAGCAGTCACCGAGATCTCACATTACTAAAAGGTACTTGAGTACATCATCTGTGTAATGATATCCTGGTTGGAAAACATTTCAGGAAAGGACAAGAAGTGGACATTAAAAACCACACCTCTCCATCTCTACTCTTGTGTAACCCTGCATTTTTGTTGGAGGAATATTTCTCTTTCTAGTACCAAACATTATAGTTTATAGATTTCCCAATCTATCCAGGAGTGCCTTACCCTTCCCTGGTACCATACAGGCATGAGGCTCACCTACAATAGTAGGGGCCATCACAAATAAGCTTCTCCTATATGATGTGCAAGGTAAAGACTTTCCAAATGATAATTATAAAGTTACTTTTATTGTGATGTGTGATGACTTGTTTCGATCTGTTCCTTCATCATTCCACTAGGCACCTCCACAAATTGTGCTATAGCCAAGACAAAATTCTGGTCCGGATGCCAGATTTAACTAACATACATTCTGTAAGGGAATGATAAAAATCCATTATCAAGATCAGCTGGATACTCCAGAAATGACTAGCTTTGTGGTGGAAGCAACAATTCTTTTTATCATCAATGAAATGATTTCTTCTGCATTTTTCTGTGTTTACAAGGATGCTGTCCTACTTTTGATTTCACACTTTTCTTCTTCTCTTGAAGCAGATCATCTTCAGAGATTGGTTCAATTATTGTTCCCATTTTTGTCACAACTTTTGGCAGCGTCAATTTCTGCATGACTTTCTCAGTATTCCATGTACTCCCAATAGGGGCACAGATACTCTTCTCAAACTGATTCTGATGTGAGAATGGGAAAGGTAGTTCATTTACCTGCATCAAAACAAATAATTAAGTGTTTAGTACGAGACAAGATAATTCACACATTAATCACAAGGTGACACAGTCCATTCCCATCAAATAAATAACTGGTACATACTTTGTCAAAATGGAACTTAGCAAGGAAACATTACGTGCATTTTATTAAAATGACAGTCTTCGATATCAACAGCTCAGAGAGGAGAACAGGGAAACAGTAGACTATGTGGCTCGTAAAGCATTTTTTGCCATTCAATGTAATTATGACTGTTTTTGGGTTTTAACTCCATTTTCTTGCTCTCCATATTCCCCAGTTCCCGGAGAGACAAAAAAATTTGTTTATCTTATCCTTAAACATAACATATGACTGAGTATCTTAAACTTTCTACTTCAGAATTGTAAAGATCCCAACTTTTTGAGCAAAGAAATTTCTTCCTGTCTTTCATAGTGCTAAATAATTCTAATAACATGACCATGTATTCTAGATTGCCCAACCAGCAGAAACACCCAATTAATATCTACCCTGTCAAATCACTTCAGAATCTTGTATGTTTAATCAGGTCACCTCATTCTTCAAAACTCCAGGGAGTATAGGCCTTTCTTCATAAGACACACTTTTCAGCCTTAGGACCGATCTACGTGAACATGAACTGTGCTGTACTGCCTCCAATACAAGTATATCATCCCTTAAATATGGAGATGAAACTAAACATAGAAAATTGGAGCAGGAGTAGACCATTTGGTGCCTGCTCTACCATTCAATATGATCATGGCTGATTATCTAACTCAATGCCATATTCCTGCTTTCTCCCCATATCCCTCGATACCTTTACAACCTAAAAATGCATCTTCTTCTTGAACCTACTGTGGTAGAGCATTCCTTATATTTCCACTTAGCTTTGTATTGTCAGCAAATTAAACACATTAATGTGTTAACATAGATTGTAAATAACCAAGTCCAGAGTACTGAGCCTTGGGGCACTCCACCAATCATAGCCTGCCTATTTAAGAATGTCATTATACTTACTATGTGTTTCTGGTCTATTTTCTAAACACTAATTTTACTGGCCAGTAAACAATGGATCTGCACAGGTCAAACATGTCTCAAGTACAATCTCCAGAAAGAGTGATTATCAATTAAGTAATGATGTCGAGGTGCCAGTGTTGGATTGGGATGGACAAAGTCAGAAATCACATGACACCAGGTTACAGTCCAACGGGTTTATTTGAAAACAAGCTTTCAGAGTGTAGCGCCTTCACCTGACAAAGGGCTATGCTCTGAAAGCTGAGATAACAAGGTGTAGAGCTGGATGAACACAGCAGGCCAAGCAGCATCAGAGGAGCAGGAAAGCTGACGTTTCGGGTCTGGACCCTTCTTCAGAAAAATCTGTGCTCTGAAAGCTTGTGCTTTCAAATAAACCTGTTGTTTAATTAAGTAATACATAGTAGTAGTAAGATATTTGAACTCAGCACTTCTATGCTAGGGAAAACCGCCACTTCTTCAGTAACCATTGCGGAAAAGTGAATATGTTGACATTAGGAACAGCATGATAGCTATTCCAGTTGGAAGGGTAACCGACATGCACTGACAAGACAAAGCACATAAAGAATGCTCATTTGAGTGAGGAATCCAAGGTCAGGATGCAATGGGAGAGTCACTGACCAGTTACTTAGAGCAATGAAACTAATCCTACATACCCGCATCATATGCTCCATTTCAGAACTGGGAGATGGCACAGAAAATTATCACTCTTTGCGAAAACCATACCAGAAGTCGAGTGAAGAGGAGGGCTCTTTGAGCTTAATTTGCTGCATTTTATTGAAAAATGTCTTTTTCAGCAGTATAATACAGAATGTGAATTCAAACAAAATCTTAAGTAGCCCATGTAAGAATGGATTCTTAACAAGAACCTCAAGTTTAAAAAAAAAGAAAAAAAAAAATTGATTTAAATTCAGAGCTGGAGATTTTGACAGCATATTCAGGGGCCTACATCTGTGCCAGTTCACTAATCTGTCCGGTTAGCTGGAAATGTTGGCTTTTTTACCCCCCTCATACTTGCCTGTATTTTCTATTCTCTTTTCAATTATTCATTTGCTGGTTTTGAAAGCCTCTGGAGACTCTGCTTCTATCTTTGATAAGGCAGTATACTAATAATTTATATTTACCTTTAACATATTCGAACATCCTACAGTGCTTTAAGAGAACACTAAAGCAAAATTTGATACTGAGCCACATGACAAGACATTCGGCAGATGAACAAGTTTGCTTGGTGACAAATTGGTTTTAAAAGGTGGAAAGCAAGAGAGAGATGTGGAGGAGTTTAAAGAGGAAATTTCAGAGTTTAGGAATTCGATTGTTAAAGGCATCACTTTTAATGACAAAACAATTAAAATCAGTCATACTGCAGTGACTAGAATTAGACAGTGCAATGTGTCAACGAGCTGTAGGGCTGGAGCAAATTACAAAAATAGGGTAGGCTGAGGGCATGGAGAGATTTGTAAACAAGAATGGGAATTTTAACTGGGAGCCAACATAGTTCAGTGAGCACTGAGGTGAGCCATGAATTGGATTTACTGCAAATTGTAGGTTTTTAAGACTCTCTGCATCATACCATTGACTTATTATTTCTCCCCACCCTGCCCAAATCAACTGCAATCAATACTGAGTTACCTCAAATTTATGGCCTCTAGCTATTAATTCACCAGTGAATATAGGATTTCCCAAATTGACCAAAGTTTTCAATTTTGAACATTGTACTTATTCATTTATTCCATGGAATGGACTGCATACTTATCAAATTTTGAGCTCAAGAGCATGATATTCCCCCTCACCTGGTGTGCCGCAACTCCAATGTCTCGCTTCTCATTGATTATAACATTCGGCAAATTTTGATCCTTCCTGGGTGGAGGTGGAGCAGCTTTAATGCGGAACCTAGAGAATCAACAGCAAGAGTACAATCAGGGCTAGGCATGATGTTATCCACAGATACCCCCAAAGAAACCCTTCCAAAATACGTTTACCATATCATGTTCTCTTTCAATTTTAGATTTGTTCAAATATAGAAATATCATGTTGCTTTAATGCTCTCCTAGACAGTGAGATTTAGAGCATTCTAGACTTTGCAAAAACACTGAAAGTAACTGGTTTCAATCTCCTATGGTCAATAATTTTATAATTTTAAACACCTCAATCACCCTGCAGGCAATTCTGTTTTAATGAAAAATGACAAGAGAATTTGAATTGTTTCTTTATTTGCATTCCCTCATACCAAACAGCTTAGAAGTGAATCTGTGCTGTAGACTCAATTACTTCAATCCTACTCCTAGTGTGTAGTCCAAAACTGCCCACAGTATTATATTTATGATCTTACATTCTATACCTTTTGCCATAAAAGTGAGTAATGGCCAATCTTTTTATGGTCTTATCCACTGAGCTGTTTTCAAATGTCTCATTGAAAATTTCAGAACCTTCAAAAAATGCTTTGAAGTGTTCAAAGCAGCATTTTCATCCATTTTTAAAATGAACAATTATTAGTATCTGTCAGCAGTTTCTTTTACTTCTCAGACTATATACTGTGATTTCCACTTCAGCATCCTTTGCAATTACAGACAATATTTCCTTAACTAAAAAGAAAATATTTTGGATGCTGGAAGTGTGAAATTAGAACACAAATCCTGGGAAAACAGTATATCATTCAAGGAGAAGGAAAATTAAATAAAAATATTTCATGGTGTAACAGCCAAAAAAAGTAATAATAGGTACAAACAAAAGTCATGTCCAAATAAAGTGCAAATTGCTACATTAAAAAAAATGAATACCGTGAAAGGATTATGAAAGAGACCATACAAGACTGAACAAGCAAAACAAAAAATAACAAGATGGAGGCAGAAAATCTAAAATCAATGTTTGATTGGAAGTCAACATGATTCAGACACTGATCCAATATCTGTCACCTCTTCAAAGAACTTAGGATAGTGTTTAAAGCACTTCACACATCTCCAAAGTCAACGTTTGAAGTTTCTAAGTATTTACTCTTCATCCACAATGTTTGGAATTTAATCTTGAGATACACCAAAATTTTCCTCATCACAGATATCATATTAACAGGTGTGTAATCATCTCAGCAGATACTGTAATATAGCCAGAGTCATTTTCATAATTTTCTGGGCAGAGTCCACAAATCTTGGCCCATTTCTAGATTACTATCCTAATTCTTGATAGACAGGGCAAGACACTAAAGAAATAATGCTATAATTGGATAAAATATTGTAATTAACATGTTGTTACAAGAATAATATGCCCAGAAGTCAACAGATAAGTACAGTTTTAGGGAGGAACTTTTCCAACCAGTTGAGCTTGATAAAATAATACACGTTGAGAAGAACAAATCAGAAATGCTGCGGTGATGTCCTCCCATTTAACACTAAGTTCCTTTCCTGTTTGATTTTCAAGAGCTTCAGAAATGCCTGTCTTCCAGTTGCAAATGAACATCTTCCACAGCATCATTAAAACTGGTGGTGGTAGGTCTGCCCAATATTTCCTTATACTATTCTTTACACTTATGAATGAAACGAATAGACTTTAGACATAGGGGCCTTTTCTACATTGTAATCAAATCTCTTATAAAAGATATCAACTGGCTTAGAGTTAACATTGGTTGCAACTAGAGTGAACATTGAACATATCTTCATACAAAGGCTTAAATTTACATTGTAACTAACCAGCAGAGAACTGTCCACACTACGATCATTTTTCAACGGACCCACCTTCTTCTTTTCTTTCCACTTGGTTGGAGACCTTGTCCTCCCCATTCACCCCACCCTGGCAAGGTTAAGTCAATGTCTTTTGGTTTGCTAGCATCAATCTGTTTCTGCTTATCTTTTATGAAATCATCAATGACATCATCTGATGCAAAGGCCTCCTGAATGACCATGCGCTGGTCCTCATATTCTTCATTCTAAGAATAAAGAATAAGTTGAAAATTATTTCAAGAACAGAGGGTCAAAATATATAATCAGGTCTATAACCTATCATGTTTTATACCTTAATTTGAAGTATATTCTTAAGTAATGAAGCATGCAATATTTTAATTGCATGTCTTGTTCTTATTTATCGGTTATTCATTGATTTCTTGTTGAGGGCCATAATCTCAAATAATTTGCTCCTGGATCATTCAAGGCAATACTGAAACACAACTACAAGATTGCTCACAAAGTTTTAAGTCTCATTTCAGTTGCACACATGGAAGCAGACAAATTATTCAAAGATCCAGACCTTTGCTTAAAAGAAAAATTTCAGCTAGATAGTGCAACACGACTCCTTCATAGTTTGTAACAACTCTCATGAACTGTGAACTAGCCTTTGTTGCCATCCCTAGTTGTCCTTGAAAAGGTGCTGGTGAGCTGCATTCTTGACCACTGCAGGCCATCTGATGTAGGTGCACCTACAGTGCTGTTAGGAGGGAGTTCCAGGATTTTGACCAACAACACTGAAGGAACTTCCAAGATAAGATGGTGAGTGGCTCGGAGGGAAACGTGCAGCTGGTAGTGTTCCTATGTACCTTCAGCCTTAGTGGTTATGGGTTTGGAAGGTGTTGTCTAAGAAGCCTTGGTGAACATCTGCAGTGCATCTCATAGATAGTACACACTTGCTGCTACAGAACATCAGTGGTGGGAGGGACTGAATGCCTGTGGATGCGGTGACAATCAAGTGGACTGCTGTGTCTTGGATCATGTCAAGCTTTTTGAGAGTTTTTGGAGTTGCACTTGTCCAGCAAGTGGGGAGAATTCCAATACACTCCTGACTTGTGCCTTACAGGTGGTGGATAAGCTTTGGAGAGTAAGCAGGTGAGATACTTCCTGCAAGGTTCTTAGCTTTGGACCTGCTCTCAAAGCCACTGTATTTATATGGCTAGTCCAGCGGAGTTTCTGGTCAATGGTAACTCCCAGAATGGGCTGCACAGAGATGCAAGGCTTGTATGAAGAACGCTCCCTACATTGTTTTTTTCACCCTGGATAGACAACAATTGATTAAGTTAACTTTCTCATTTCATCCTTAGTTCCTAACTACACTAGTTACACACTGAAGGAATTCTAAAAAGAAAAGTGGGTGGCACAGCGGCTCAGCAGTTAACACTGCTGCCTCATAGCACCAGGGACCTGGGTTCAATTCCTTGGGCAATTGTCTGTGTGGAATTTGCACGTTCTCCCCATATCTGTATGGGTTTCCTCCCACAGTCGAAAGATGTGCAGTTTAGGTGGATTAGGTATGGGAAATATAAGGTTACAGGGATGGGGTTGGTCTGGGTGGGATGCTCTTAGGAGGGTAGGTATAGATCCAATGGGCCAAATGGCCTGTTCCCACACTGTAGGGATTCTATGATTCTAAATGAATGTGGGTCCTGAATACTATGTTAACTGCAAAAGTCATCTTACAAAACAGATTAGGAAGAATTTAATATATTTTCGCCTTTAAAGTTCCCTGGAATTCTATATTTCTGAGAATATCTTGGATAAGAATTGAGCCTGATCAGTTGAAGATTAATGTAAAGCCCATATGAATAGCAGAGATTCAGGCAGAAACACACCCACACAGCATTATATATAAAAATATCCGCCAATCAAATTCAAATTGACAGGCAATTGTAGATTTAATTTGCCTTTGTATACATACCAAACAAGTTGTTGAGAAAATGGGCCAACACAGACATGATCAAAATTATTGGTCTTGTCACCCACAGCAAACAGACATGATAATCTTAATATTATGAGTGCTATATGCCAAACTAGTTTCCCAATGCCTAACAACTTTGACGAGTGTAGCTGGCATAGAAAGATTTGACAAATTGCATACTATATAAGCTTTTCAATACTAGAAAATGAATGGAAGTCAAACAATAAGCTGAAAACCTAGAACATGATAGAGGTGGTACAATTATTTGAATGCAGCTATAGTCATTCCTCCATATCTGTAAGGGTTCCATTCCTGAGAATCCCCGTGAATGATAAAAATCGCAAGTGCGGAACTTCTTCAAAATAGGTTAAAAATTGAGGATTTGCGATTTTTGCCTGTGGGTGTTGATTTTTGTTGTTATTTTTAGCGTAGATAGGCGAATTCCCCGTTTGGGATTTCACAGACACAGAGGATTGATTGTATTTCAAAGCAGAAATCTATTGGGATGTTATTTGTAATACTGCAATACATAGTTAAAATGAATCTCTCCATTAACAGTATTGCAAACAGGGCTGGACAGACCTGCCCGGTGCTTAAGTACACCAACATCCAAAATTAATCATCATTTACACATACAAAATAGGTCTTAATTTTCACAATGGTAGAGAAATTTTTAATCATTATGTTTCCAGGATAATTTTTATGCATGACGGAGACTGATAAGATACAACAATACAGATTCACCAAGGCTTTAGTATTGTTAGCACCAACTATGGATTAACCTTAAAACTAATGATTGTCCTGTTCCTGTAATGACCATTAGATTATTTGCCAAAACAAAACTGGCAAATGACCAGTGAGCTGAAGAATCAAAAACAGTAACCAGAGATACTACTTACCTCGATCAATAATCAATTAGCTAATGTATATTAAATTCAGGGAAAATTCATCGCTAATTCTCTTACCTCCTCTTCTACTGCTGTAGGAACCAAAGGCATTTTAATGATTTTGGATGTAATATTCAATACTTTCTTAGGATTGATGAGATGGTTTGTTCTAACTTCTGTTGTAGCATTTGTTTTATTTTCTGAATTGATCGCATCTCCACTGAGCCGTGGTGTATTCAAGGCTGAGGCCTCATTAAGATTATGACATTCTTCCTGAATCAAAGTTTCCAAATCTTCCACTGTCCTTTTGCGCTCTAACTGTTCATCGAGTATTGGTTCTTCTTGGTTTTCTAGTGTCTGTGCATCCTCCTCACTCTTCTCAAGTGACATTTCCTTGCTTTTTCTTTGATACTTCTTAGGGTTTCTTGACGTAGGTTCAGATTTATTCTCAATCAATTTCCGAAAAAGGTGATTAAACTCATTCACGTCTTCTTCAAAATGTTTCTCTTTCTCACTTTGGTCACCAGGGACTGCCCTTTCCCGTTCGTCATTATTTTTCATACTTTCATCATCTTTGCTCTCATCTACAATAGCAGATGATCCAGCCAGTTCACCATCACCTTCTTTACGAATTGTCCGTTTTTTCTCAAACTCTTGCAGCAGTAACTCATCTTCAGAGAGGTCCTCCTCATCATCTGATCCTTCATTCTGATCAATTTTTGCAGGAATGACAAGCTCAGTTTCTCGTGCTTCAAAACTCTTTGGATCAGCACTCAATCTTCCCACCATCCAAGGATTTGCTACTGTGTTCATCTCAGCATCATTCACAAAATCTGGAACAGTCTCATCCCTGTCCACCTTCGGTACAACTTCATCCTCACTATCTGATGGAACTAGGACTTTTGTTGTGAGCATTTTGTTCTTCTCCAGCTGCTTCTGGATTGCACTGCGAGCCTAGTCAAAATAGACAATATTAACAGAATAAATTAAATAAAATCTGCTTTTGACATATGGGCGTACACTATTAAGCTAACTGATGCACTTGAATTCCATTAAATAATAAATTAATTTGCCAAATACGATTCACAAAGCAGGAATTTTTACAGCAGATCTCAAAAAACACAATCTTTCAATAAAATAGAACAAAATCCCTGTATTCTGGCAAGAGACAACTCAAATGTAACATTTCATTTTCAGTGTTAATCCATGTCTTGTACTTCAATTAGTGTGCACACTGTTTGGAAATGCACTAATTCATAATAAACTTGATTTCACTAACATACATATCCACCATTTCATCATCATGTGCCATACATCAGTAAATGCTTAACTTTCAGTTAAAAGAAACCATTGATATTGCAAATAGTCTACTGAAAGACAAACGTATTGTGTCACACTTCCCAAAACAACTAATATTTCTACTGAAATGTAAATTTTGCTGCAAACAAAGTAAAGAGTTTTCCTAAACAGCTACAATGGTTGCAAAGGAGGCCTTGGCTTTGCACAGACAGCAAAGGACTGGGGTGAAATGGCTCAAGACAGGGCAGGAGTGCAGAGGCAGTTAAGACTCGCCAGCTTCCTTCTCCTCTAAATAGTGTTTAGACATTTCAGTCAATATTTGGTTTTCTGCAAGTTGCGACACAACAGGCTAATGTACAAGATAAAGTCCCATGGGATTAAAACAACAGATCCCAGGGATAGATGAAAAATAATTTAACCTTGATGATGGTTACTGTAGAACTCCCCGTTTGTACTTGATTATAAATTTGGATGAAAGCATTCAGGGAATAGGCATTTAAATTCCCAAATAAAAGATTTTGCTGAGTTTGGAATCCCAGATGAGGAGTAAAGACCCACCATCAGGCAGTTGGCATTTAATGATAACATGTATAATTATCCACAGACGTAGGACTAGGATCACATATACCAACTACCTGATGTCATGTTGAACGTGTGGAGGAATTAAGTTTCCAAAGTTCTTGATCTACACTACATGTTCGACATGGACTGGTTAGACCAAGAGTCTGTTTCTGTGCTGTATGACTGACTATTAGCATATAATTTTGGCCAATAGAATATCAAACGTACTGTTAGGATACTACAATATTTAACTACAGCCTTAAAGATGACTTTGACTCATCCTCATCTAGAATACAGTGGACAGTTTTAGTCCACTCATATTGTGAGAGATACAGAAGTCTTGGTTAATGTTCAGGGAAAGATCACAAGAATAAGGCACATTTTAAAAGACTCTTATTAATGTGGCAGGCTTATGGGCCTGATCAGGAAATTTCTAGAAAAACTTCAATTTTGGGCACATTTGATTGAGATTTTTGAAACATAATTCAAGGAGTAGGCTTTGTCTCTGTGCATACACTACTTGAATTAGATAAATCATAAAAAAATCAGGGAATATGCATACAAGATATAGATGAACAGGAACAGACTAAAACCCAGAAAAAAGGGATTTAATTTTGTACCAAGTCACTGACCTCCAGAACAAGTTTCCTGCTTGTCCGGGGAGTATGAATTTGTTGCACCACTGGATGAATCAATCTAGATTGATTCCTAGCACAAGATGACTGGTCAAAGATGCGAAATGAGCAGATTGGACCTATACTCTCTGGGTTTAGAATGAGTTGATTTCATTATAACTCAAGATTTTGACAGGTTAGGTAATTCAAAGGTTGCACCACTACTTTTGATGTTAGAAGTAGGGGACATAGTCACAGGATAACAACAGCGCCTTCTACGACTCTTAAGACTGAGATGAGGAGGAATTATTTCACTCAGGTGTTGTCAATCTTTGGAATTCTCAATCCAAAAATGTTGTGGGTGCTGCATCATTGAATACATTTGAGGTGGAGATAGACTTCTGGACTCTAATGTAATCAAGGAGATTGGGCATAAAAATGGAATGGAGGTCAATGATCAGTCTATTTAATAACTAGATCAGATATGAGAGGTTGATTGGCCTACTCCTGTTCCTACTTCTTACAATCCTATGTAAGGTAGTTATCACTGTGTGGGGTCAGAGAAATGTCACTTAACAAGCAATGTGATCACTTATCTGGAACTCATTTTGCTTGGTGTGGGGGTAGGCAATGGAGTAGGAGCATAATTTTTAAAAATTCTCTTTCTTCACTGAAATTGACTTTCTCTCTAGATTCTTGCCACTCAAAGGTGCAAGACTGCAATCTGTCTATTTCATAATGCAAGTTAACAGCAAGGAAAGATTCTCTTCACGTATATATAAAGTGATTAAAATGTTCAACTACACTGTGTATTGCATAATATTCGATAAGGCCTGTAAAAATAAAGCTCCAATCTGCAAAAATATCAACCTTTAGGACAGCAGATACACTTACAAATTGAATTGGAGTGTTACAAAACCATATACCTTGTTACACCTGTTGAGAGCCAATAAATATTTTTTGTAGCAGGAACATTTATGGGATGGAGAAACTGGCTAAAACTTTGGAAAGATCTGTATACGTCACCACTGACCAAACTTGCACTTCCAGAAATGTCTGTTTTACCTACAAAGCCACACCTTAGCCGAAACATTCAGATTCTGTGTAGAGATAACAAGGTGTAGAGCTGGATGAACACAGCAGGACAAGCAGCATCAGAGGAGCAGAAAGGGTGATGTTTCAGGCCTAGACCCTTCTTCAGAAATGAAGAAGGGTCTAGGCCCAAAACGTCAGCCTTCCTGCTCGGCCTGCTGCGTTCAACCAGCTCTACACCTTGTTATCGCTGATTCTCCAGCATCTGCAGTTCCTACTATCTCTGAAACAGATTCTGTGTAGGTTCTGTTCCTTGATCAACAAGATTGTGCAAGGCAGGCATTAGCTGTCAAAATAAAGCTGTCAAAATAAAAGAATACTCTACCTCCGCGTCATATTTTGCCATGATAACTTTAGATTTGGCCCACTTTCCACTGTTTTGATGTCGAAGTGTCATTCGTTCCTAACAATGAAAAAAAGTGACAACAATACAGCTTTATAACATAGATATATTGTCTGTAAAACAAAGACTGAGCATTATAATTGCTGCTGATTTTCTATTTCTTAGCTCAACAGGAAATTCACACTGATCTCCAACAAGATCCTAAATTATTAATTCAAAAACCATTGTGCTGATCTAAATGTTTTACTAGTTAAGCATTCCAAAGGCTTCCATAATGTAAAAAGTTAACTTCAAATTACATGGTGAAATAATGATGCAACAAACTGCCACCCTCAAAGCAACTCAGTCAGTTGGTTTCTTCTAAAACTTCTAATATTCCTCATTTATGTCAAAGGCTGATGGATTGTGTTTCTGAAACTAAACAGTCTTTTCGATGTGTCTTTGGATCTTAATAACAAACCTTGATGAGCCAGTCTTTTTTTAAAAGAACTCCTTTGTTTTGTCAAAGAACACAATGTTTTTTATAGAAACAATGATGCACTTTCTTGGGCAATGCTGAATGAATGTTATGTTCGTGCTTTCATAGGCGATACTGAATGAATGCTGTCTCAGTGCCAAGCAAAGGCATGAATCTGTGTCAATATGAAATATTATGGGCACGTAAGTGTCACTGGTGTCATTATGTGCAAACAGCCTAATGACGTGCCAATTACAGGTACTCTAGAGAGGTTGCATGAATATTTGTGTTTTCTTTCATAGAAGTAAAATGCACTGAGGTATAGAAATGGTGATGTTCTGCTAATTAGCAGAGAAATATATTGTTAATTATTTTAATCAACGGTCCATACTGTATATTCAGTGAAGTGCCAGTTAAGTGTTGAAAGGATTCTGAACAGGAAGCAGCGTTATCTTACAGCTGATTAAACCTCAGTGGTCTCTCGTCTTTGGAAATTCCTATGTTTTTCGGATGGTCAGTCAATATTCACACCATCACTGCAAATATATCATGCAAGTCATTTTAAATCCTTGCATAGCTTAGGTAACGTGCTTAACTTGAAACCATCCAATTAAAAATCAGAATTCTACTCTGCCTTCCATCACTCGCTGTTCAATCTCCATCTCCAGCCAAACACTTTCTTTGTATGTGTAGGTGTCTCTCTCTCCCTCCTTTGCTCCCTTTCTCACGTCTCATTCCCCTCATGACTTTTTCTCATTTTCACTCTTCACACATCTCTTCCTCTTAATGGTGGCTGCTCTGTTAAATCTTACAGCTAAGCAAAGCCACTATTCCAAATTACCTGCTGCAGGATGCCTATTATTGTTTGCGCCAAGAAATCCTACTGACCATTTGCTCAAATGCAAGATTCTAGGTCGAACGATTACAAACTCTCTGCTTGATATGGTGGCTGAAATTAATGACAAATTATTTGAAAGGCACACAAACAAATATACTAAATGAATTTAACATCTGGCACAGCAATTTCAAAACCATAATTTGGTAAGAAGTAATATTCATTTATGAGCATCAGCTTTTAAAAAATTGTTGCGTTCCTGGTAAATCATGTAAACCAACAAGAATGTTTGGAATTCAATCTGAGAACGAACAATAAAACTCCCTTTGCTGTTACCCATCATTAAAACAGGTTGATTGGAACACTCCATAACCTTCCACAATTGATTAAATCAAAAGAATGCCTAATGTAACAACTGTAACTACATAAAAACCAAGAGCACTCCAGATGCTGTAAATCAGGAACCAAAACAGGAGTTGCTGGAAATGCTCAGCAGGACTGGCAGCATCTGTGAAGAAAAATAAGAGTTAATGTTTTGGGTCCGGTAACCCTTCCTCAGAACTGTGTGTGAAATGTTTAACTATGATTACCCTCTGCTAATTCAAATGTAATAGGAATGGATGATGGTTGACCACTTTTGGAAGAATGTCTCCTACTTTTAAAAGAAACAGGGCCTACCAGTATTTCCTGTCATTGGGAATTATAGCCTGTAACAGTTTCCCCCTATTCAAAAAGTAAACAATTTAATCAATACCTTCTACACATCATCCATTAGGTTTCTCAAGAGGCAGTTTTACATGCAGCTTTCAGGAGACCTTTCAATAAATTTAGAATTGTAGCTTGTTCCTCAAATTATATTACCATGTTAGCTACAAAGTTATACCTTCAGGAGCTTTGTAGAAATCAGACAAGAAAGCAGCCTGAGGAGCTAAATAACTAAAAATCAAGCCTAGCATCGATTATTCAAATTCAAACACAGTATATGGGCCGTAAGCTTTCTGTTCCAAGGAAAGAATTATCTAATGGAATGATGCAAAGTGGGTGAAGGTGATGGCTTTGCTATGTCAAAAAGCAGTACAGCAGATAGCCAAGGAAACACACTAGATGATGGAGAGGTAAAAGTTGGGATTAGCCATTGAAAATAAAAGCCATAAAAAGTGCAAGACTTGGGAGTGAGAGGAGTCATAGAAAATAGTGAGAAGAAAGGAAATAGAAATCAGCAAGGAAGCCTGGAAGATAAGTTTATGATTTTCTGGGGCAGTGTCTTAAAGCAGCATGTTTTAGACACAGCCAGAGAAAATCTTGAGCACAGAGGAATCTGGCTGCCCTAGTACACAAATCACAGAAAGTTAACCAGCAAAGGTAGAAAGTGTTTGAGAAATTGAATGTTGTCATTAATTACATGGGGAATGGAATAGGAAAGCATGGAAGTTTTGCTATAATTGTAAAAAAAGAGGTATAGTGAGACCATATTGAATTTAGCTCTGAAATAGTAGGAACCGCAGATGCTGGAAAATCTGAGACAACAAGGTGCAGAGCTGGATGAACACAGCAGGCCAAGCAGCATCATAGGAGCAGTAAGGCTGACGTTTCGGGCCTAGACCCTTCATCAGAAATGGGGGAGGGGAAGGGGGTTCAGAAATAAATAGGGAGAGAGGGGGAGGCTGATAGAAGATGGATAGAGGAGAAGATAGGTGGAGACGAGACAGCCCACTGCGAAGCCTCTTCTAAGGATGCCTACCCTGAAGAAGTTACCCTCCTCCCTCCGGACAAACCCCAGGGGATCTCTCTCCCACTGCAACTCTCTCATCTCCACCTATCTTCTTCTCTATCCATCTTCTATCTGCTCCCCCTCTCTCCCTATTTATTTCAGAACCCCCTTCCCCTCCCCCATTTCTGATGAAGGGTCTAGGCCCAAAACATCAGCCTTACTGCTCCTATGATGCTGCTTGGCCTGCTGTGTTCATCCAGCTCTGCACCTTGTTGTCCCTGGAATTTAGCTCTTCTTACTTTAGAAATGATATATTAGAAAGATAGGCAATTCAGAGAAAGTTCACTGAACTGATATGAATAGATTATCTTTGAGGAAAGGTTAGATAGTTTGAGTTTGCATCCATTGTGGCTTTGAAGAATGAGATTATTGAAATATGTAAGATTCTGACAGGAATAGTCAGGATGGATGCTTCCACTTGCAATTCCAGAAGTAATTAGAACCGAGTTTAAAAATAAGGAGTCTCTCAAGGAGATAAGGAGAAATGTTGTTCTCTCACGGGTCCAGCGGAATCCTTTTGCCCGGAGAGTGGTAAAGGCTACTTAAGCGGCGGGGTTATTGAATATTTTTAAGACTGAGTTAAAGAGATTCTTCATTGACAACAGTGTCAAAAGAAAGTGAGCAGACAGGAAGGTTAAGTTCCGGCCACAAACAAATCAGCCATGATCTTATCAAATGGCAGAGAAGGTTTGAGAGATCAAATGATCTGCCTTGTGCCTAATGCTTCTATGTGACATGCAAATGGACAATAACCCCAATGCTATCAGAGAATTTCACCATGGGACAGCATTTAGATGAGGAAGTGGATGGGTGGATCAAATGTGAATCATTTGAGATATTCAGAGGTGATGAAATAGAGGATTTGAAAAGAAACACTATTGTTGAAGATGGTCTGTCTAAGATCTAAGTGTTAAGAATGTAACTAAGCAAGAATAGTCCACCAACGTGGATAACAGACGGGTTTTGGAACAGTTGGAGCGATTGATTCTGTCTGTGACTGCAGACAAGTCAAGGAGGAAAGATGCGTTTTTTTTTCCACACAAGGATCTCACTTGTGAAAAGGTCTTGCATTTACATAGCATTGTTCACAACTTCAGGACATCCTCTTCTAATTTAGAAAAAAATTAGTAATTAAGTAGTATAATCACAGTTTACAATGTAAAAAACACATTTTACGACTTCAATAATAGACAGAAAAAGGATTCTATAAACTAAAGTGTGATAAACAATTGTTAAAACTCTAGAACAAAAACAAATCAACTGTAACTAAAAGCAAAAATCAGTTGTGTGCACGATCTTGGCAAATACATAGAAAGGTTGATAGATTTTACCTCCATTTGATCAAATTGCCCCTCCACCACATGCTAATTAAGAAATGTTTAGCTTTTTTCAAGCTTTAAAGTTAGCAACAGCACTGTTCTTTGGTTTGTGAATGTACTAAACGAAATGGCAATAATGCACGTGAAATGTACTATGATTCAGTAGTTGTAATTAAAGGATGTTATTTTTCACCTCTATTCGTCTTTGCTCCATTTTACTCAGTTCTTCAAGAGCTTCCTCAGGCTTAGTTTTCTTTAGTTCTTCAAACTGCTTCAAAATCTCTTTCTGTTTAACCTTCTTCATCACTTTGTGGAATCTTTGCGGAGAATATTGAAAAATATAATGAACTGCTTCCAAGAAGTCACATCAAGCATTCAAACAATTACATCATACATTCATTTAGACAAAGTACAATATAGGGGCATTAATATTTGTATACACGTCCATACTTCTGTGGTTTAAATATTTCTTTAAAACCAAAACTTTTCTATGCCACTAACATAGGATGTAACGAGTGGAGTCACTCAAGGATCTGTGCCGAGGCTGCAGATTTTTACAATTTACATTAATGACTTATATGAAAGGAGCAAATTCATGGCTACTGAATTCGCAGATGTCACAAAGATACGGAGGAAAGTATGTTGTTAAGAAAACTTAAAGTTGCAGACTTATAGGTTGAGGGAGTAAAAAATGACAGGAAGAATAAAACAGCAGAGTGTTATTTAAATGGGGAACCACTGCAGAATTACAAGGTACAGCGTGATCTAAGTGTTCTACTCCATGATCTCAAAGTCTTAGCATGCAGGTACAGCACATAATCAAGAATGCTAGTTGGATGCTATCCTTTATTACAAGAAGTGTGAACACAAAAGTAAGGAGGTTTTGTTTCAGTTATATGCATTGATGAGACCACATCTTGAATACTGCATGCAGTATTGGTCTCCTTATTTAAGGATGTATGTAAATACATTGGAGGCAGAAAGATTTACTAGATTGGTAAATGGAATGAGCGGAATGAGAAATGACTTCATTGAAGTGTACAAGATCCTGAATGGCTTTGGCAAGGCGGACATAGAAAGGATGCTTTCTCTTGTGGGAGAGTCCAGAAATAGGATGCATTACTTTAAAGCAGAGGTCACCTTTTAGGACAGCAATGAGGAGAAAAATTTCTCTCGAAAAGACCATGCAACCTTGGAACTCTCTGCCTCAGAAAGCAGTGGAAGTGGGGTCACTGAACTTTTAAGACAGAGGTCAATCAACTCATTAGGCAATAAGAATGTAGGAATGGGAGTAAGACATTTAGCATGTCCAGACTGCTCTGCCATTCAATACAATCATATCTGATCAGACACTGATCCCTTTTAGTCATCCCATTAACAATGGCATACAGGTTGATGGTAATTAGAAATCAATCTCTACCTTAAACAAATTCAAAGACAATCCCATGGTTCTGAATTCCAAAGGTTCATAACCTTCCACGTAAATAAATTTCTCATACATGAGTGGCATCCCTTTATTTTAAATTGCACCCCGGTTTGAAACAGGGAGCGTATCTTATCTGAATCAACCCTGACTATCCCATTAACTATTTTATAAGTTAGAACAAGATCAACGGTCATTCTTCAAAACTCCTATTTTGCCCAATCTCTCTTCATAGGACAGCCCCACATTCCCAGAAACAAGTCTGGTGAAGCTTCATTGCATTCCCTCTATGGCAATGCAACTTTCCAGAGGTAAGGAGACCAAAATCATAGTCCAATTGCAGTCTAACCAAACTCCTGTTATTCCTTCATTACACATTAATCACTCCTCTTGTAATAAAGGTTAACATTCCATCAGCCATCCGAATCGATTGAAGCACCTGCATGTTAGCCTTCAGTAACTCATCAACAAGTAAAACTAGACTCTTTTGCATATTAAATTCTTTACTGCTTAAGAAATACCTTATACCTCTGTTTTGGCTACCAATGCAGACAGCCTCACATTTTTCCATATTGTACATTCATTTGCCATGTATTTGACCATTCACTAAGTCTATCCAAATTTTCCTCAAGCTGAAGATGTTTTACATCTTCCTCATAACACATTCCCACTTAGCTTTGTATTATCCACAAATGTGTAAACATTATATTGGTCCCCACTTCCAAATCATTGACTTATATTGTAAACAGGTAGGGCTGAAGTAATAATCTTTGTAGTACCCCACCAGTCACAGTTGTCAACAAGGGAATGAACCATTTATTTCTACTCAATCTTCTGATAGCTAGTCATCATCCATCCCATTTGCTTTAATTTTTCTAACTAGCCCTCTGCGGGAATTTTATCAAATACCTTCTAAAAATCTAAGTATACTATGTCCATCAATTCTCCTTTAATTTTTGTTAATAACATCTTCAAAAGACTCCAAAAAAGTTCATCAAGTACAATTTTCCATTCACGAATCCATGTTGACTAAGCTCTCAATCTGATACCTATTCATTAATAGATTCTAGCATTTTCCTTACTGCTGATGCAAGGCGAACAGGTCTATATTTGACAGATTTCTCAATTGTTCCCTTCTTAAATAGTGGGGTGACATTTGTTATTTTCCAAACCGCAGGTATCAGTCCTTGAGGATTGGAATACCTTTCAGAGACCTTGCAGAAGCTCTGGAGCCATGCTTGATTTTCAATTTGAACACAAGATGATTTGTTAGTCAAGTAATGTTTTAAAAATTCTTTTTGTAGCTCAAAATGGTGCTGGATTTTGGTAACAGAACACTTTTCACTGTATCTTCAAGATGTATGTGACAATGAAATCATTCATTCATTCCAGAATCTATAGAATTTTGGAAGATAATCACCAATATATTGATTATCTCTGTAGCCACTTCCTTCAATGTTCTGAGATGAAGACCATCAGCTCTTGGGTATTTCTCAAAATTCAGCCCCATTAATTTCTCCAGTACAATTTTCTTAATTCTACTTGCCTTTAACCCCTTATTCTTCCGTGCCACTTGGACCTCTGCTTCTGGGAAATTTCTGGTATCTTCCTTAGTGAAAATTCACATTCATTACAGCCAAACATTTCCTTGTAACGCATCTATTTCATTTTTGTTTTCTTGCGGAAAGTATTCATATTCTACTCTCCCTTTTCCTTAGATTCTTGATCTTCTTTTATTGTATTCTATAAAACTCAATCTTCAGAATTACTGCTAGTTCTGGAACCTTTCTTCTAATCTTATACAAGATTAAACTCCACAGTTAACTGATCTTTTGAGTTTTTGCACCTTGCATAGTTGCTGTAAGTCATATTTTTAAAATTATTCATTGTCTACAGATTGCCTCAATTGATTTTCCCAGCCCACTTCTGCCATTTGTATCTCATCCTTTTGTAATTTCCAATTAACATGTTTCAGAATGAACTACCTCACTTCCAAACATAATGGAATATTCCACCATATTAGGGTCATTTATCCCAAAAGATTTTTTTTACAATAAGATTGATAAATTAGCTCTTTTTCATTAAATAGTGCGAGGTCTAAAACAGCATTTCTTCTCAGTGGCTTCTCAACATACTGTTCTAGAAAATCATCTCTAACACACTCCAGAAAGGGAGTCAACCATGACAGTGTGTTGATGGGAATGTGAAATTCAAAACACAACCAGATCAGCCATGACTTTATTTGATGTTGGAAGAGATGGGTGAGGCCTTCTTCTGCTCCTCTTTCATATGTTTATTTATAACAGGTTTAAACTGACTAAACTAAAAATTTAGAATTACATTTTACTGACAGTGGATTGCATACTTGTACATAGCCAATGCCTTTTATCATTCATCATAAGTGCATAGCACTAACGAGGACACTCATATATTGGCTATCACTAACCATCTTCAAGAAAGGGTGTACCTGCCTTCCTGAACTACTTCAGTCTAGGTGGCAGATGATCTTGAGCTAGTGATGGTTTAGGAATGCTGATATATTTCAAGTCAGGATTGAGTACAACTTGGAGGGGAACATGCAAGCTATCTTGTTCTTTTAAAGTGTAGAAGTTATGCATTTGGAAGATACTGTCTAAGAAAGCTTGCCAAATTGCTGCAATGCATCTTATAAAGGGAGCAATGGTGTAGTGGGGGTGAATACGTGGAGTGCTGATTAAGCGGGGCGCTTTGTTCTGAATCATGTCAATACTCTAGAGATAGGAAAAAATCATGAGATTAAGAGATACCATATGAACTGCTGCAAACCACAGAGCCTATAGGTCAAGTCACACCATTTCATAGATATCTTCGCAGGAGCAGCAGCTTGCCCTTAGCCTCTTTTTGCTTTTAAACAGCTTGCTTTTATTTGCACTTCCATTACTCAAAACTCATCACACAAAGTCATTTCTGGTAATTCAAAGTACAAGTATTGTTTTAAATGCACAATAATAGCACAAGACTAACATTAATCTCACCTGATAATAATTTATTGATTAAAAGCTTGGGTTCTAAAATGTAAGAACAATGCATAACTTGAAGTTGAAATTGTATTTTTATTTTGTTGCAAAGGAGATTAGTTTTTTAGTTTCATTTTTGTTCAGTGAGTGGCTACAGGATGTTTGAACGTATGTTTGGTTTATATGCATTTTACCTCAAGCATTTAAAGATCAAATTAAAACAGTTCAGTGCATTAAAAAAAAGATAGAAGTGAGGAAGAAAGCAGACCGCTGCTGTTTAGTAACTGGAGTCCAGTAACAGAGAAAATCAGAACAATCCAGCAGTAGTCAGGCAGCGTGCAGTTTCATTCAGACAAAAGGCGTCCCTGACAGCAGAGGTGCTGTTAACAGTCTCCAAGCAATCTGAGCTTAACAGAAGTCCTGAGTGGCTTAGAAATCAGTAAGAAGGAAGCTCCAGAAACAGAAGACTGATGAGGTGTTAGCGAAATAAAAAGCCTCCAAAGCAGTTGAAGGCATGAATTTAAAAGAACACACATTAAGCAGAAAGTGAGGAGAGTCAGCAGCTTGGAAATGGGTCTCAGGAAGAGACATTAGCTAATGAAAATAGCATCCAGTGAAAGCACAAAAAACTTTTCTGAAAGGGAAACAGCCGTACCAGCTCAACAAGATGTGGGGACAGAGGCAACTCTTCACTGAGGTTCAAGTGTCTGAAAGGTCATAATGGGGGTAAAGGATTGAAACATTTCAAATATTTGCAATTAAACTGTGACAACTAGTTCTTAGATAACAAGGTGTACAGCTGGATGAACACAGCAGGCCAAGCAGCATCAGAGGAGCAGGAAGACTGACGTTTCGGGCCTAGACCCTTCTTCCTGCTCCTCTGATGCTGCTTGGCCTGCTGTATTCATCCAGCTCTACACCTTATCTCAGATTCTCCAGCATCTGCAGTTCCTACTATCTCTGAAACAACTAGTTCTTATAGGGTAACATAATTTGTGTTTTTTGTTCAAGTGCAACAAATGTTTACATTCTCCTATGAAAAATACATCAGCAGTCTCTTGTCACTAGGTTCAGTTGTTGACTTCCATGGTAAACAAAAACAAAAAAAAACTTAAGATCTTTCAAGAGTCTCATTTAAAGTCTGATTTGTCCAGTATTACTGTCAGCTAGTATCATAACAGTCCAGAAATAGAAGAAAGTGCAAAGTTACATTCCTTTAAGAAATAAATTGTTTTGACGTTAGGAATGCCAAAGGTTTTGTGTTATGCGAATCTTGTGCCCTTCTCTGTTCATTTATACAATCTTTCTGTCCCTCATTCTCATAACTCATTTGACTTTATTCACTAATCAAGTTAAATCTGTATCATTTTCTAACATAATTAAGATGGCTCCACCATTCGCCAAGGGTCCAGATATTCCCTGCCCTTTCCACAACATAAGACTACAGCTATAGGAGCAGAAGTAGGCCATTCGGCCCACTGAATTTGCTACAGCATTTGACTATGGCTGATATGTTTCTCAACCCCATTCTCCGGCTTTTGCCCCACAACCTTTGGTCCCCTTACTAATCAAGAACCTATCTATCCCGGTCTTAAATACACTCAAAGACTTGGCCTCTACAGCCATTTTATGGCAATGAGTTCCACAGATTCACCAACCCCTCATTCCTCCTCATCTCAGTCCTAAAGGGTCATCCCTTGACTCCAAGACTGTGTCCTTGGTTCTAGTCTTCACATCCATTCTATCCAGGTCTCTTAGTATTCTGTAAATTTCAATGAGATCCACCCTCATCCTTCAGAACTCCAAGTACAGACCCAGAGTCCTCAACCGTTCCTCATAATGACAGGCCTTTCACCCCCAGGATCATGCTCGTAAATCTCCTTTGGACCCACTCAAACGGCAGCACATCCTCTCTTAGATATGGCACCCAAAACTGCTCGCAATATTTCAAATGCAGTCTGATCGGAGCCTTGTACATCCTCAGCAGTACATCTCTGCTCTTATAATCTAGCCCTCTTGAAATGAATGCTAACATGACATTTGCCTTCCTAACTGCCAACTGCACCTGCATGTTAAGGTTAAGAGAATCCTGAACTAGGACTCCCAAGTCCCTTTTGTGCTTCAGATTTCCCCATTTAGAAAATAGTCTACACCTCTATTCTTCCCAAAATGTATAATCCTGCACTTTCCCCCAGTGTACTCCTCCTCTCTCTTCTTTGCTTACTCTCCTAGCCTCTTCTGCAGCCTCCCTGCTTTCTCAACATTACCTGCCATGCCACATATCTTTGTATCATCTGCAAACTTAGCAGCAATGCACTCGGTTCCTTCATCCAGAGTGTTAACGTATAACATAACTAGTTGTGGTCCCAACACTGACCCCTGCAGAATTCCATTAGTCACTGGGTGTCATCCTGAAAACAACCCTTTATTCGCAATCTCTGCCTTCTGTCAGTCAACCAATCCTCTATCCATGCCAGTACCTTGCCCTTAACACCATGGGCTCTCATCTTATTTAGCTGACTCCCATTCTGCACTTTGTCAAAAGCCTTCTGGAAAACCAAATAGATCCACTGGCTTCCTTTTGTCTAACTTGCTTGTTACCTCCTCAAAGGAATTCTAGCAGATTGGTCAGGCATGACCTCCCCTTGATGACACTGACTCAACCGATTTTACCACGCACGTCTAAGTACTCCGCAATCTCATCCTTAGTAATGCACTCAAAATCCTGCCCATGACCGAGGTCAGGCTAACTGGTCTATAATTTCCAGTCTTCTGCCTTCCTCCCTTCCTAAACAGGGGTGTTACATTAGCCATTTTCCAATTTCTGGAGATCCTCAAGGTCCCTCCCTTACAGCAGTGATTTCTCAAAGATCAGCACCAATGCTTCTACAATCTCCTGAGCTACCTCCTTCAGAACCCTGGTTCTAATGATTTATCCACCTTCAGACCTTTCAGTTTCGCTAGCAAATTCTCCTTCACAATGGCCGCTACACTCACTTCTGCCCTATCTCTCCTGAAATTCTAGTATGCTGCTGGGCTCTTCCACTGTGAAAACTGATGAAAAGTACCTATTCAGTTTCCCCGCCATTTCTTTGTTCCTCATTAGACCTCTGAAAAATGAGGCTGGAAAAGTGGCAATGTCCATTCTTGCCTCTCCTTTACTTTTTGTATATATAAATAAACTCTTGAATCTTATTTCATATTACTAGCAAGCTTACCCTCATTTCATCTTCTCACTCCTTATTGCTTTTTTTTGGTCCTCTGTTGATTTTTAAAGACTTCCCAATCCTGCAGTTTCCCACTAAACTTCACCACATTGTATGTTTTTCCTTTTGCTTTTATGCTGTCCTTGACATCCCTGGTCAGCCATGGTTTCTTCTTCCTTGGGATCAATTTCTGTTGTACCTCCCAAATTACCCCCAGAAACTCCTGCCATTGCTACTCCACTATCTTCCCTGCTAGGTTCCTGTTCCAATCAACTCTGGCCATCTCCTCCCTCTTGTCTTGGTAGTTACCTTTCCTGAACTGTCACTCTATTACGTTTGATTCCAGCTTCTCCCTCTCAAATTGGAAGACAAATTCCATCATCGTATGGTCACTGCCCCTCACGGTTGATTCACCTCAAGCTCCATAATCACATCCACCTCAAGCTCCATAATCACATCCACCTCA